GAATCTTTAGAGAACTGACAGTTGAATGAAACTGACAGCCCTGGTAGTTTCTCAGCACTTTCCTTTCTAGATATTTTGAGTTTTTTCCAGATTCAGAATTTTTTTTTTAGGGGGCATCTGGACAGGCTATTTCACTGAGAGAGACAGACAATATTTTCTGAAAATTACCACCAAAATTAAGCAACTGTTGTGCATATGAACTAGATAACAATGAATTAGAAATAATCACTCAATTTCTAGTTGTGTGAGTGTCACGTGTGGTGGGGCGTGGGGGAGGCGTGGAGGTGGCAGAGCGAAGGCTGGGGGTTGGGGCAGGAACGCTCACATTCCCGTCCTCAGACATTCACAAGAGATTGTCCAGACCACACGCAGCTACTCCAGTAAAGCTCACTGCAAAGTGGCAAGAATGACCCAGTGTTGTAGCTGGGTTTTGTGGCTCTGTTATGCAGACTTGTCTGGTTCCGAGAAGCTTTGGTCCCTCTTCCTTGGAAGCACCTGAGACAACTGGTGCCTCCGCCACACCTTGCCACATGCCATTTCTTTATTATCCTCTTTTTTCTTTCCTTTCTAATTTTTCTCAGTATGCCCTAAGCTGTCTCCATTTCTCAGTGAATTTTTTTCTTTTCCTTCTCTCCATTTCCCCCCTTTCCCCTTTTTCTTTGTTTTTGGGACATCCAGGACCATTACTTAATTTCTTTATGACCAGGACCAACAACTTTACCTCCCTGAGTCTCAATTTTCTCCTCCAAAAAATTTGATAATTATCTTACTTTGCAGGATTGTTAGGATGAGACACTGTGTATAAAGATTCCTTGTCTTTATCTTATTGTACATGGCATCCCTCTGATATCTTCTCAATGAGGACACTGAATACAATCTACTTTTTCCAAGTAATACCTATCAAGGATCACATTTCTCATTTTCAAGATTCATAACAGAATGTGAAAGATACTCTCTGTTAGCCGATCACCTTGGCACAGATGCAGAACAAAGAACAAGGGTGAGAATGCATACCAGGGAGTTATGATGACTCAGAGGCACCTTCGTATGTCCCCATCAGCCATAGCTTCCCCAAGCAATGAATCACCCTGCTCCAACAGCTGTGACAATAAGTATTTAGCTTAAAAAATATCTTGTCAACTCAAACCTAGGGCAAGTACTTTGAGCCCCCAAACTCCCTTAGTATCTTCAAATCTTTGTTACTCTCAGTGACATTGAATTCCCACATAGCATCTCAATTCCAGATTTCAGAATACTTAGGCTGAAAATTGTAGCAGTAAAGACTATGCTGTCAGACCTGAAGTAAGCCATCCTGAAAAGAGCATAAATCTAGTCTAAAGAAATGCATTTTTTTGGCCACATTCACATTTTTTTTGAATATCCGGGGAAATGAAACATTGTCACAGATCTATATGTATTAGATAAAGACACACTCCAATTGAATCTATAAAACTGCCAAGATGA